CTTATAATTTATTTTTTTATCTTTTTTTGCTCAGGGCTTCACTTAAAATCTCTTTTGTGAGTGGACTTCCTAATGAAATATTGTAATCATTATTTTATTATTATTAATTTATTATTATTATTACCTCATCACATCTTCCATTGCTAAGTCTGATCGGTGACATGCACACCAGATATTTCTTGTTGAACGACCAACATAATTTTCAACTCTAGCCCACAGTCCAGAATCCTTACCAGTGTTTGCAGACTCTCCATCGGTGCTCGTCCCAACAAATTTTGACTGCAAACATTCTTTAGAAAGGCCCATGTCATCAAAACAGTTTGTCATGGCAGAACACAAACCTTCAGCACCACGCTTGGTACTTTCCCTTGCACTTGCAAATCTTGTCTTAATAGAAAGAGGGTCCTCGGGTGTATTGAATCGAACAAATATAAATTTCTTATCTTGTTGCCTAGTATCGACAGAACCATCCATTTGTGCAGCAAAACAAATAGAGTTCTGGAGTTCTTCTCTAAGGTGCTTTCTCTCTGTATCTCGTATTATCTCCAACATTTCTGCATAATGCATTGGATCCCTATAATGAAGTTCCTCTCCACTTGGTTTAAACGGGGTAAAACTTTGTACGTTGTCACTGTCAGTTAAAGACCTAAACTGTTGTTGTGCATGTAAATTAGCAAGAGATCTACCTGGCCATGACCAGGCAGCTAAAGTCAAAGATTTACTGTCATTATAGACCTCTACTGCCATTTCAGTCAAGGTATTCAAAACTGTTGGATCACTTTTTGTTGCCAAGTTAATAAATGGGTGACGTTTGTCTTTGGCATTCCACAACTTGGATAGCTGTTTCTTTTCTTGAGCTGCTCTATGTGAAGGCCCCAGTAGATGATCAATTACATCTTGTATCTTTTTCTTCCCATCACAACGCACACCTTGTGCCATGTACACTCTACCATTAGCTGAAAAGCGCTTTGCTTCCTCTTCGAATTCACCACAGATGCAACACTTGACAAAAACCCTAGCTTTCTGGCGATTCTGCGTTGAAACTCTACTTCGTTCATAATATTGAGATAGTACACCATCTCCAAATTTTCCTAGAAGTGCTTTTAGGTTTAATGGGTAGCCTCTGTAATACTCAGTAGTGGTTTCAGTAGTCATTTGCGTTGACGATGTGTTTGCTGTGCTTATTGGCAAACCAACGTCACTTGTTGTAACCAAAGTAATGCTGTTTATATTTGCAGAGCTTGTTGACGATAAGGTCGAAGGTGTAGTATTGCTTGGAATATTATTCGAAGGAGCCTGTGTATGAACAAATTGAACATTACCTTCCCTATCTGAATTTCGAATATCAAAATCCACTTCATTCAGTTCATTGTCTTTACGAGGTTCTCCTTGGTCAGTGCCTCCAGTAGCTGCAGTGCCTTGTACTTCGCTTTCCACTTCAATTGGCGCCATATTTAATAATTGTTCTGACTCCTTCTCAACGTTTGTATCGCACGATGTCGATGACGATGTTCTTGCATTTTCGTTCTTTGTGAAGAAATCCGATACCTTTTTGCATTTACTCGCTTCTTGTTTTAACAGTTTTTCAATATTCGCTTTTCTTTTATTTGCATACGGCATTTTTAATACTAATAGTACAAACAAAGGCAAGCAATTTGCATGTAAATTTTGATGTAAATTATGTTTTTGAAATTCCCAACTAAACTTCCCGAATATTCCGAGATTTCCCCCAAAATCCCAATGTTCCCACTTTCGTTCCCAGTCCCACTTTGAAAAATATTTTTTTGCAGATCGAAATTTCCTATTTGACTATTTTTCTATTTTTCATTGTCCAGAAAGGGAAGGCAAAGGAATAGCAGAGATTCTGCGAAAGGAATACTGGAATAAGGATTAATTATGTTGTCCAATATTGACTTTGGGAGTTATTTTCACACCAAAAAATATGAAAAGGGACTTTCTACTGGGGGGGGGGACAAAATTGCCGACTGGGGGGGCAGTAAGGGGGGCTGGGGGGGGGCGATGTCCCCCCCAGTCTTTATGTTAAAAGAGGCCCTGTGTCACTCGTGCGAAGGTAGCCTTAAATTGAGGTAATTTATGAACGTGTATTAATGTGGTACCAATGCAACAAAATCATAATTATTTCCTTTGTGTTTTGCTCATGAATTATTAATTTGGATAAGGATTAATTATTGATATTGTAAAATCCAACAAAAAGTAGCAACACATCTGGGATAACTTCACCTATACTTACTTGTACAACCAACCCTTCATGTGTAATCAAAGCTTATTAAATCCAAATTAATATTTTATGGAGTCGAACCCAGACCATATGAAAAAGTGGGGAGACTCAAAAGATCTGTACTTGACAAAGCTTTTGGACACCAGTTTAAATGCAGTTCCTCCTTCCCAGCAGCAATTTAGCTCTATGGTGGAATTGGAATTTACATCATGGTTAAAGAAACAAAATCTGAATACAACTTCTGTGTCAAAGAAAAAGTATGTGAAAATTGTTCATCAACATTGTCAGAGAGTACAACAGAATGTACTAATACCTTGGTGTTAACACTATCCCTTGAGAATAATGCCACTATTACTGAAACAGCTTCTATACTGGAAGAATTTCGAAAGGAATTCAATATCCCCTGCAACCATGCGAGAGTTGTTTTGCCATACGATGAGAGAATGAAAACATTTAATATTGACAATGCAAGAAAACATCACAAATTTTTGTACTTGCTACAAGAACACAAGAAAGATATGGAACAGCTTATGCAGCAGCTCACAAATATGGAAAAAGAACTTACCGATGGAGATAACCCAACAGAAGTAGAAAGTGATGAGGAAATTGGTGATGAAGGTGAAAATGAAACTTTGCAAGACTATTCGTTTCAGAAGATTGATGGAAAATTCAAGAAAATTTATGAGAAACTCGCTCAAAAAATGTGGAACGCTAGTCTTTCAGGCGGTGGTTACTGTTGAAATGCAACAATACACGCGCATCAATAGGGCTTCTTCAGAAAAAGCAACAGATCATCATGGATCTACAGTCAGCACCATGCAGTACAAAATGATAATTATGCTTTGGTGAAAACATTACTTAATGCAGGGGCAAATATAAATGTGGAAGAGAAATGCAGTGCAACACCTCTCACACTCGCTGTACTCGAAGGTGACGAGGAAACGGTACAGATTTTACTTGAAAACTTTGCAATATGTCATGAAAGCTTTTTCAGTTCCTGGACCAAAAGCAATTGCAGAAAAGCTTGATCATGATAACATTAAAGTACTAATTGAACAATATTTAGCTGGAGAAGATAAACTAGACCTGTTGGTTTGGGAAATGACTGAATTTGATTCATCTGCACCGATGGTGGCAACAGAGGATATGTTGGATCGAGAACACAAGGATGATCAAGAACACAAGGCATATGGTCGCGATATAAATAAATGCAAAACTTTGTTAGTTGGCGATCAGGGTACAAACAAAATTATTCGAAGTGTGAAGCAAAAATCACAGTCAGCATACGAGTGGGGAGCAGAGGTCCCAGGTGATATGCATGCTAGAGGTGGGTAAACTATATAGGGTAACTGTTAGAATAGTTACAGTATTGAGAAGTCCCTTTTATGGACGAAATTCCTCATTGAGTCTCCTCCTACAGCATAGTATCTTCTTGCTCAAACATCAGATGATGTAATCTCAGTGAAGCCTGTTTCCATTGCCGAATGGGTGAATTAGTTCGCGGGACATTTTATTGCTAATATTAGCCGAGTTTATATTTTTTACCAGGTAACAAAATTTCCTACTTTGTCCTATAATATGTTGGCAATGGACAATTTCCATTATAAACTAAATTTTAATCTAAGTAAAATAAAAACATCACAGATAAAAAGAACATAATGAAAATGGTAAAAATGCAAAGTTTGGTTGTGAAATGTTGTAAAGCTTGGCAAATATAGCCTTGCGAAGTTTGCAAATTTTGAATATGTTTGTATTATGTGACGAAATTGCTGCCCATTTTCTTCTCACTGGAGTAGCTGCTTAACAATAATCCTCACATCATTACATGCATTAGGCAAAACAATTCTGGTACATTGCGTTTGACAGGTTTCAGGAATAGGTTCTTTGTGACTGTTCACTAATATAACATCCTTTTACTACTATTTTCTTCAGGCTATTTGTATGAGGTTTGCAAAAAGACAATGGGTCAATCAGGTTTTATGTGTGTTGCTCAACATGTCATGAATAGAGTCAAAGTTACTGATGCTGCATTTGGTGATAAAAAGTTCCAGTACCAGAATCTGAACCGTATTGACGAGGCTGTAAGGGATGTTTCTATGGCATATGGGCTAGCTGCAGTTCAAGAATTGCAAGTGAAATGTTTCCTTTTAAAGATGCTCTTGATGCACATGAACAGAAACATGGAAGCCACCATGAGCTTCTTCTAAACTTGTTTAAAGACTGGATTGAAAAAAACCCAGCAGTAATCCTCAATTCCAGTACTACTGTCAATTGATTATTCTCTTCAGCCCATTGAGGGAGTTGTTTTTAACAAGTGTAAAGTGTGGGGATGGTATCGGTCGTGTGGCTGTTTGGATGCTCATGTTACCACTGTTTGCTCAATTACAGAAACGGAACTACTGGACTGAGGCTTTTGTACACCTTGTCAACCTTTTAGCAGCATGGCCTTTGTCAACTAGAAAACTACAGAACAATTGTTCAGTTAATGTGAAGGGAAGACATGGTCATAACATTGCCTTGGATGAGTGGGTGGAATCATACTTAGTCAGACCATTAAAGAATTATGCTCCTGGTAGGTCAAAAATAAGAATTTTGTAGGAAATAGGTTTTGTGCAAGAATTACATATTTGCCCTGCAATATACGTGGATCACAGATGTTGAATACACAGATGTTGAATTCAAATATATAACCTTGGCACCCATAACAAAATAACAAAAAAAGTTTTTCTTTTATGCAATACTAGCTTAATAGTTATTATACATCAAGGAAACATTTTAATAAGTTTGCTTACTATATTTACAAGAAAAAAAAATTATAGGAAGACATATTTTATGAGCATCTCAGCTGTCAACCCATTAGCTGGCAATACCATCCCTATGCAGCCACTTTAGTATTTTATACTAAAACTGTCTGTACCAGTGTGGGTAGTACCAATGTGAAAATGCTGTGCTGAGTGGTTAATGGTTGTATTACTACCTTAAAAAATAAGCAGAAACTCGACGTTTCGAGCAAAGGTCCTTCGAAAGCTCAATTCAGTTTGTATATTATTACATGCATGTGTTGACACTGAGCTTTCCTGACCTGCATATAATGATAGATCCTACAAAATAGATCTATAATTTAGGAATGAATGTAATAGACTAAATCAATGTTATATTAAAAACATACACAGATTGAGTATTGGGAAGGGTATGCACATAATGAGAAAAATTTTTTGACTATTTGTGGCAGTAAAATTACCTGTAAAATATAGATAACTGATCTTACACTTTTAACAAAAATTGCCTCTGCCACCACTGTCGTAATGAGGTTCTCTAACATTTCGTTTGGAATACCATGTGTTAAACTTTACACACAACCCTGGCTTAGTCACTTCCAGTATTTCTGGCTTCGCTCCTTCGCTATACGTTCTCAGTTGACCATAATGCATTAATAACATTCCTACAAGCTTTGCACATTCTTTTGGACACTCCGCCACTAAATCAATGGCAAGACAAGCTTCATACGGTGTTGATATGCTAAAGCGTTCGTAGTCATTGCTCTAAAATAAATGAGAGATGGAAAATACTGTGAATATACACATAGAGGAAACATGTAAATTTTTGCATGGAAACATGTAAATTTTTCCCAACCACAGCGATTGAAAGAGCAATACATATTATTAAGTCACCTACCTGAAGCTGGCGTTGTTTGGAAAGGATTTCCAAATGCTGTTTTGTTTTTTCTCCGTGAGAAAATCTAAATATACGGTGTGCATCTCGAAGTTGTTTCTCTTCGTAAAATACAATCCCACTATGTTTGGTTCTGAAATGTTGCACGATTCCTTTCTCCTCGAAAAATAATTTCACAGAGTTACTTTTACATGATCTGTGAGGACATGGTAGTTTTCCGTCTAAATACAAACAATGAAATGGCCTATTTTGGAGATAATGATTCTCTTCAAAATCCGCCATTGTTTTAGTGGCCATCTTGAATCCAGGATCTGCCAGTCGTTTTCCTCGTTTCTTCCTTCCCTTTGTCCCTTGCGCGCCCACTCTGCATGTGATTTTTACTACATCTGCATGTGTGTCTCGCAAATCGTGTTATCTCAAGTTATTAATTCAGCTTTGATTGCTTTGCCTTTGTTTTAATTTCCAAGGCCTTTAAAGACGACTGGGGACGAGTCAGATCTTCTATTATGGTTTTTCAAAATATCTAAATTTTATGCGAGTGCTTTGACCGGAAGTTCAAGTTGAAATATCCAAAACAATGCGATGTTTACATCCCATCACTCAGGAAAGGTAGGAAATCGATTCTAAAGGTCAAAGTACCCCTGTGGCGTGAATTTCATGTGCATGGGGCTACAGGTGCTCCTTAATGGCCAATTTTAGTGTGTTGCACGCGGTGCAAGTAAAAACCCGATATTTTGAAAAATTCAAAATAAAGATTTCTACTTTTCGTATTCAAGCGAAACTTTCTACATAAAAGCACTTGAATACAAGGAGTATTTCACTGCTATTGACTTGGGCGAATGCTGAAGAGTTTAGAAGATATCTATTCAAGTTTTTCTCGATATGAAATACAAAATGTTTTGCCAAAGGTGAGTAAATATACGATTGCTTTGGTTGTTTGTAATGTTATGACAGCATTTCACCCCCTGTTCGAAAGGTTATTTTATGAGGATTTCAACAGTGGCTTTCGTTTTAAAGGGGGGTTTTTGTACTTGCAGAGATATTTTCATTTTTCTCCTCTCCAAAGTCGGAATATGTAATGTGTAATACCAGAATATGTAATACCGGATGACAATTAGTTAATGAATGGAAAATTTGTTGGGTTTCTAATTACTGTACAAAATTTCAGACAATTTGCTTTAGTGTAAGCCCTTTAACTATTCATTTTTCCTAAAAAAATCAGCCTTTCACACGCTTGATTAATGGCTTTAGCTAATTTGCATATTGATCACATGCTTAGCATGCAAAAGCTGATTTTTAGGAAACAAATTTAACTTTTGCTTGAATAGTTAAAGGGATTAAACTGAAAAAAGTTGTCTGAAATTGTGTGCAGCAATTAAACACCAAACACTTAGCAATTAAACACCAACACTAACTCAAAATACAATTAAAGCTTTTTATGCCTTCCGTCTCAACGAATGATCTTAAACTATGTATTATACATGAAGACATTACTTCCCACACACGCATTATCGGCTTGGGTGTTGCATCTCCCGAGCTCCGTTTACTGGGCGGTGTACTAAATAGAACACTGTAAATAATTCACCTTGTTGTTGGGTTAATCTGGCTGGGGCCCAGCCGCTTTATTTTAACTTTCGAAATATAATACATAAGATATGTATCTACATTAAAATGTTCTGAAACCGTTTTGCCCAGTAAAGGTGAGGGCAAGATTATGCCAAAGCATCGAACAGGAGAAGATGCCGCCCCACCCCAGGCGAATGCAACACTCAAGTCTGTTACCATTGATGTAACCAAGCCCAAAGCGCTCTTGCTATAATCTACTTAGTCGTACTGATGCTAAACAAGTCAAAACCACAAATTTGGTTAAAGAACAGTCGCCCTTGCAAACTGTCTTCGTTATAGTAAGTTTTAAATATTGACTAGGTCGATTTATCAAGTAGAGGTGAAATGATAAGACACAGGTAGCCGCCCTTGCTGACTGCCCTGTGCAAAAGCTAACATTAGAGAAACCTCATAAAACGAACGTATAGTATAAGTTTTAACAGTCGCCCTTGCTAACTGTTAATGTTCATATATATAACGATAACAATTTGAACTACTTACAAATGCCAAGGTACTGACTGGTACCTGAAAGCTACTTATTTCAATACATTACAAGTGTTAACCAAGTGTTAATGCCTCAGTGACAACTGACAAAATGCAACCGCCCTTGCTAATCGCAAATGGTTACCTGATGACAGAAGCACTAACTGGATTATCATTGTTGCCTGACCACAAGACTTTCCCCCGCAAATCTTGCGGTCAGGCGCTAAGATTAATCTCAAGACCTTTTGATCGGTAGGAAGAAATTAAGTGGAAATCACTGGAACCCGAATGTACTTATGAAAAGCATTTGACTTCCATCGCCCCATTGTGCGAATTTGTGAATCGGACATCCCCCTTTCTACGGCCCATGTGGCGGCACCAATACGAAAACTGTGAGACTTGTAGCGAGACGAGTTAAGACCACACAAACGTATTGCTTCAGACAGCTGTTTAGCAAAAAACCTCTCTAGTTACAGGCATGCCTTTCTGTGTTACAAATATTGGACCTGGTTGAATGCCTCGCAATGCTAGGTACTCAAGCAGTAGTGCGACAGGACAGCATGACGTTTGACGATAAACCAGTAACGTAAAAGGCCGTTGGTTATAATTGTGCTTGAAATCTAGAAAGGTCAATTTGATGCCAACCACTTTGTGGCTCGAGTCGTAAACATAGGACATTTGCAAAGGTTGACAACTTGCGTTGTTAGTTTGCTTAGTAATTTCGCCAATCCTTAAAAAGGCGAAGAATGCCAAAGAGCACATTGCTTTGAATTGACAAACCTGGTAGCACGAAGCAGTAATACCAGGAGCCACAGCAAGCAAACTTTGTAGTATTGGCAAAGTCACCGGCAAGCGACTGTCTAAACGTATGTCATTTTTTGCATAGCCTTTTAACATTTGAATGATGTAGAAAACTCGAGTTGGATCAGGTAAACTGGACAATTTGTGAGAATAACCAATGGCACAAATGTAGGTGTTGACTGTAGAGGATGCATAATTGCGGTCAAATAAATACGCTATAAAAAGCGCCAATGTTGCGGGCGAAATAGGCATGCTAAAACGAGCTGTCTGAAAAATTGAGCAAATAGTTTCTATGCCCTAGTATAAGTAGGAATAGATGATTGCTGTAAACTTGATTTAGTCAAATGAGTTACTATATCCACCAGTTTTGAGGTTGTAGATGAAGGGGGATGTCTGTGGGAAGACTGTTCATGTTGGCCGGTGCTAATTGTTGGAAGGCAGTAACCTGAAATCGAGATAAACAATCGGCTAGTTTGTTATAAATACCAGGAATATGCTTAGCCTTAAACATTATGTTGTTTTGTAAACAAACCAAAACCATTTGACAAACAAAACACATTAATGTCTTATCCCGGCACGATTTTTTGTTGATGACATGAACCAGAGCTTCATTGTCAGTAAATAGTAAAATAGACTGATTGCGCATTTTGTGTCCCCATTAGCACAGGCTCAGAACAATTGGATAGAACTCTAGAAATGCGATATTACGGTGTAACCAATGTGCCGGCCATTTGCCATAACACCATTCGGTGCGAAATATGGCCCCAAAGCCAATCGAACCTGAAGCGTCTGTAAACAAATTAAGCTTGTTGGAATTCACCAAGTTTTGTCCAGGAAAAATGAAATGCCATTGAAAGAAGATAAGAATGTTTGCCAAATTTTCAAATCCTCTTTGACCGCCTGACGTAAACGAATGAAATGTCGCGGGTTCTGAATGCCTTGTGTAAGGTCAATGAAATGCCGTAAAAATGCGCGACCTGGCACAATTACGGAACAAGCAAAATTTAACAAGCCGATCAAAGATTGAAGGTCTTTTAGGGTAACCTTTTTGCGGTTAAGAAAAGACTCAATAGTGTCGACACATTTTGCAAGTTTATCTGCTGGCAAGCGCGCTTGCGATTTTATAGAGTCTAACTCAATACCAGCAAATGTAAGAGTTATTGCAGGCCCGCACGTTTTCTCTGGTGCAATAGGAATACCGAGTGTGGCGCATAAATTTAGAAATCTATCCAAATTGCTCCGGCATTGGGTATGAGTGGCAGCAATTAAAAGAAAATCATCTAAAAGATGGAGGAGTTTATCGATATTGAATTTTTGTTGAGCAATCCATTCAATGGCTGTACTAAATATTTCAAAAGTTTTGCATGAACTGGAGCATCCCATTGGCATGCAACGGTCAAAATAATATAACCCCCGCCATTTCATTCCTAAAAGACGATAGTCTTCAGAATGTATTGGCATGATTCGAAAAGCGTTCTTGATGTCGGTTTTCGCTATGAAACAACCTGGCCCAGCGCGTTTTATTACACGTATTGCATCAGAAACAGTAGCATAATGTACGCTTGTACTTTCTGAAGGTATCCCATCATTAACCGATACACCTTTAGGGAAGGATAAATGATGGATTAAACGAAATTCGCCGGGTGTTTTCTTAGGGACCAGGCCAAGAGGCGAAACACAAAAGGAATTAAATGGCGGCGACGAAAAGGGGCTGGCTAACCTGTTGGCAGCCAATTCTTTTTCTAGTTTCATGTCCACAATTTTTGGATATTGTAAAGCTGAAGTTAAATTTTTTTACTCTATAGATTTGATTTCGCCCTGATAGTGCAGAGGAAACCCAAACCAAAAACCAGAAATTAAAGTATTTATAATCGATGGCTCGCAACCTGACAAAAGTTCAATTAGAGGCTGAATTTTTACCGGCGTTGATAGTACTTGACTTGGCGGAGCGGTCGGTATTGGCGGGTGATTTTCCGTTAAAGCTACGAAAATTATTACCACACTGGCTGACACAGTGATTACCCTGGCATTTAAAACACAAGTGTTTAAATGCACAGCCCGTACACGATTGACCACGGTGAAATTTAAAACAATAACCCCAAGGCACAGCAGTATTAGGTGACCGGGGCTTAGGAGCAAAATTATTCTGACCCACTTGGGGCCCTGATGACTTTCTAGTCATAGAATACTGTGAACGCAACCACAGTTCCCCGTGAATCAAGCCCCACGGAACAAGAGTACGTTGAGTTTGTCTTAAAAAAACGAAAATTCTTGTCGTAAAAGTGCCAATTCAGACCGTGAGCCACCAAGTCCTGAATAGTCCACCCATATTTCATTAAGGCGGGGGCCTCAACTGGGTATCTTTGAGTGTAAACGCCCACAAATACGTGAAAAGCCTGAAGCCAAGCTTCAATATTTAGGATTTTCTTAGGCTTGGCCGCAGGTTCCAGACAAAAAGAGGCAGGTAGACCACCGTTAGAACTCAAAAATGAAAGTTGATACTTATCATTGCCATCGGCGGAATTACTCAACAAGCTACCAAAATCGATAAACTCCTCATCCCATATTTTACCCTTGAGTTTTGCCGAAACCCGCGAGTCAATAGCCAAACCGGCTGAGTGAAACAATTTAGCAGGTTCGACAGAACTCGCAGTACTAGAAGATATTATAGTAAGCAATAACTGTGGCTCACCCAAGATGCCAACATGTGCTGCAGCTATTGCCCCCGTTACCAAATTATTGACTTCCGCTGCATTGGATGACGATGTCAGACTCTGTGTCGGTTCGGTAGCCATCACAGGTACAGCAGGTACTGCTGGAGTTGGCACTGGACTGGAAACTTGGGCTGGAAGAATCGTAGCCATTTGCCTGGTCACTTCAGCAGCCACGGTTGACACCAGAGTCTGAAGGATCTCGGGCGACAGAACATTCCCTGAGGACGGAGCAGGAGGAGTTGATGTTTGTGGTGTGGCCAATGGCGGTAAATCAACTGCTGGGGCAGCATTCTGTGTCGCTATGGTGGTGTTGAGGGTTGAAGCACGACGACTACGACGTGAAGACGGACCACCCGTTGTTGTTGCCGCTCTTTTGCGTTGTTGCTTACGTGGTGGCATACTGTAACAAGAAAACTTGCAAAACAGTATAAAATACAATAATATATATGGAATAAAATATTATCAATTTATGTACAACTTCTGTATAAATACTATCATCGTTGGGCCGTATGAAAAACGATGATAATTAAAAATTTTTCGCAGGGCAAGTATGGCAGACATTTTCGAGTCGCCGCATATTACAAGCCCTGGATGACCAAATAACTTAAACTGCAAATAATCTCCAAAAACATGAAGGACATCCACAAAAAACATGGGGTACAATCAATTAAATAAATCTCCAAAAACATGGAGAACATCCCCAAAAACATGGGGTACAAGTATATAAAGAAATCTCAAAAAACATGGAGAACATCCCCAAAAACATGGGGTACAAGTAGATAAATAAATCTCCAAAAACATGGAGAACATCCCCAAAAACATGGGGTACAATTAATCAAATAAATCTCCAAAAACATGGAGAACATCCCCAAAAACATGGGGTACAAGTATATAAATAAATCTCCAAAAACATGGAGAACATCCCCAAAAACATGGGGTACAAGTAGATAAATAAATCTCCAAAAACATGGAGAACATCCCCAAAAACATGGGGTACAATTAATCAAATAAATCTCCAAAAACATGGAGAACATCCCCAAAAACATGGGGTACAAGTAAATAAATAAATCTCCACAAACATGGAGAACTCCCCCAAAACATGGGGTACAAGTACATAAATTAATCTCCAAAAGATGGAGAACATGCCCAAAAAAACATGGGTTACAAATATATAAATAAATCTCCAAACATATGGAAAATATTCCCAAAGCATTGGGCCCAAGTCAATAAATAAAAATCCCAAAACAATGGGACAGAAGGCAATGCATGGTCAGTGTTGCGCTAACTTGAGACTGACAAAATATATCACACAAGCGCAACGTAACTGTTCATAAAACGCAGTGTCAGTAATAATGTGAAATTAAAATACAGATCTTACCTGGAAAGAATAATCAAATAACAGAGCAAAACTGCTCTTAATTAAACTTTATCAAGTTTTTAATAGTCTTCAGTATAGGTGATGTTCCTTTGACAGTAAGCTGTATGTGAATGCTTAGAACTTAGCATAGGGATGTGTTATAACCCTTTCGTAATCGTTATCTACATATAACCGAGTCTGTTCAAGATATACCTAATACCTTAGGTATTTCCTCTCTCTGACAGCTTAATATATAATACACCACGGCTTATCAATTGTAATAACCGACTTATCTCCCCAAAGTCTGAGACGGAAGGCATAAAATTCCTATTTGCTCGCAAATATTTTCTTTAAATCATGTGCACAAGCCATTTTTATTTTGTTGGAAGAGATAGACACCCCTGATTTACAAAATTTTAGTTTGAAAAATTATTTTCATTATTCTACATTATATGTACCAAAAAAAGCTAAATATATATAAAACTGGATACTAATAGCTGTTTTGCAAAATTGAGAGCAATTTCAAATCTGTTCAGTTTTTTTATACCCCCTGTATGTTACATTTTGGAATAATTGTGCTTGTTACAGTGTTTGCTTTATTGTGATACAGTATAAGGACATATGTATATACACTTGACTCTTTTAAAATCTATTTTGAACAAACTTGCAATCTATAATTCTATGAAAAGGAATTAAGTAGCTGTTTGAACAAACTTTGTCACAACTTTCTATGAATAGGAAATAAATAGCTATTTAAGATCTAATTAGTTTCCTATTTATTAGCTATTTTAACAATAGCTCCAAAAATAATAGCAAACATATTTTAAAATAACTATTTAATAGCTATTTAATAAATTTCTCCCCAAAAGGGTTTTTCAGAGATTATTTACAGTTACATGCATGCAGTAATAATTAAGGTTACAAATGTAAGTTTAAACAATTATCAAAGACCGACTATATACAATGTTTAGTTGGCTATACTAAATGTTATCTTTTGCAAGCAAATGTTTTTTAAGTGGTACCTTAAAAATTTTAAGAGAAGACCAGTTTTTAACGTTCTTGTTTAAATTGTTCCAAATATGGACGGCTCTATATGCGAATGATCATTGGCCAGCTGCAGTCTTAAATAGAGGTATTTGAAGAGAGTCGTGTGTACGAGTCCTACGGTCGTGGATTGATGACCTTTTTATCAATTTATTACAAAAGGTAGTCGGGTGCTAGGTTATTTACACATTTATAGGTTAAACTGGCGTCTCTAAAATATAGTAGTTTGTCTACTGTGAGACAATTAAATTCACATAAAAGTGGAGTTATGTGGTCATAATTCCTGGATTTTGTGATGATTTTGCAAGCAAAGTTCTGGTTCGTCTGAACTTTCTTTATATTGGAGGCATATGTATATGTATATATTTCTATGAATAGGAATTAAATATCTATTTAAGATCTAACAAGATGCCTGCTCAGGCGTGTTCAAACTGACCTGAAAATGACGTGTTATGCGGTGCAACAGACAAAAATACAAATTGTGAACCGCAAAACGTGAATGGCTGAAAGCATGATCCCGAGGATATTTTTTCATAATATCCAGTGAAACACAAGTATTACATTTGGCAAACTGCCAATGCAGCAGCACATTTGACCACCTTTGCCCCATGATGCTTGCGCTTAGGACACCATGCCCATACTACTGCATTGATACTTTCAGTATTTTGGGTTGTACCTCGAACACACCTTTCCAGCAGTTTAGTATCACATAGAGTGGTAAATATTGGCTTCAGTAACTCCAGAAACACATTAGGCAAGCAATTATCACCCTTGTACATGGATGTTCCTAAGGCTTGGTCTTGCTGCCATTTGCACCAGGAATTGTATCCAGCACACTGGCGGCAAGATCAGTGGCTTAGTCTCATTCTATTTATATTAAAAATGGCAAATTCCAGTGTCAGTAGTCTATTTACAAATAGCCCACCAACGAAAGAGATAAACATGCTATTTAACTGGCAAAAACAAGACTATTTTTGCCAGACAAAAAGTTGTGAAGCACATCATTCGTGATTTGTACTGTGAAGCAGAAACTGACATAAGCGGTCTTGGAGACAAAATACATGCAGCCTGCAGTTAAATTACCTAGCATTCAACACCTTGTAGCCAGTAGAAGTATGGTCATAAATGCCCTTCAGAAGATACAATCTAAAATCTGTTGGAAGCTGTGATCATCGGCCAATATTTGTTCACCATGTTGAGGTGATTTTACTATGGACATCCCAAACGAAATATGCGAGATTATTTGCAAGCATATTTCCAAAGAAACTGTTATGGCCATACATACAAAGAAACGTGTGTGTGTTGATATTTCGATGAAGAATATAAGGAAAGCCCGCTTTGTTTTTGATTATATGAATGCTGAAATTCTGATCCTGCCCAAAGAAGATATGTTCTGAAAGAAATTACCAATCACACAAGAAGGGAGTTGTGATAAGCTGTGATAAACCACTAAAACTGAAATATTATAAAAACTCAGAGGTACTTTCAGTACACTTTCACTAGAGTTTTACTATAGTGCGAGGCAGCGAGGCATGCGAGGCACGATGCGAGGCAGCGAGGCACGATGCGAGGCACGAAAAAAAGTGCGAGACATGCGAGGCAGAAGTGCGAGGCATGAAAAAAAGTGCGAGGCAGATGTGCCAGTGGGAGGCAGACACAATGACTGATTCCAAAATTTGATGATATTTAACATATTGAACATATATACTTAACTTGACGCTGGACAAACGGACAACTGTGAACGACATTCTAGTTTTAATAAACAGTTCTGTCTATACATTATAGTTTTAAATAACTAGAGTCTTTAAATAACTGGAGTCTCCAGTCAAAACGTCAACAAGTAAACATTAACCTAGTCCTAGACAATAGCTCAACAAGTGACAAGCTAGCTTCACTAAAAATTATGGAATATTAACTATTTTGCGTTGTTCATCTGTCAATTGAAAAACTACGTTCATACAAATTCGATAAGGTTTTATAAACGAATTTCTGGGTAATTTGGAAATGCATTCAAACCAAGGGAAACCGGTCCAGGGGCAGTAGAAAAAAAGGCCCGTCAGTACTCGCAAGATTGCCTCGCAGCCTTCCTCACATCAGTCGCATGCCTTGTATGCCTCGCGGGCTTGCCATTGCCTCGCAGTTTGTGTGCACCCCTTTCACTATGGGATACCACAATGAGATACCATAATATCCACATGGGATTATTATTATTAATAATTTATTTCACCCAATTTTCCAAAGTACAATAAAATTTATCTATATACATTTTTATAATCTATATACGTAGGGTTAGAGCTATTTCAGAAACCCTTTTGGGCTTTTATTTTAAGACCCCTAGTTTATAACAAAACTTTTTTTACTTAGCATAATTTCATGTCATAAAAATAGTACATAATATAATAAAGAAAATATATACAATTGTGAGAGTGTTTAAAGGAAAGTTAGTCTATTTACAAGATTTTTTAAACTTTATACATTAAAATAGGATATTAATTAGCTGATTGGTGTGATATAAAGTATGTTTTCACATTTTTTTTGAAAATCATATATGATCCAATAACATTGACCACAACATTGACTAATAGATATTTATAGCTAAATGGAATTGTGAATCTGTTGTGTTCAGTTTTTGTAGATTTATCACTGTACAGATAGTAGACTTTACATACAGTAAGTGGAATATACTCAACACTGACAACAAAATCAGTCTGTTTAATAGTTAGGAATTATTAAGTATATTTTTGAGGATCTTTTTTCAATTTCTGAAATATGTTATTTGTTCATGCTACACAGAGTGCAGACTCCACACTCAAACCAAAGGTCGCAGGTTCTAGTCCACTAGCACACCAAATTATATTGTCACAGGTTCGAATCCCACCACATCAAGCTGAGTTTCAGCCTGCCTGGTGTGGAGACTGCTCTCAGAACACCATGAACAAATAATAATATATAATACCTGAGTTCAACATGCACCACAACCACCAAATTAAACTAATTTCTGAAATATTTTGCGATGTGAGCCAGTCGGTAGCTGATCAATTTGAAAGCTTGCACGTAGCTTCACCCAGAAGTTGAAATTGCGCCCCTTCGATAATTATGTCACACATACTTTTTGGTCTTGGAGCCTCGCTCTCATTAGTAAATTATACAAGGTGATTGGCTAACGATTCATGAGAGCGAGGCTCCCAGGCCAAATTAATGACATAATTATCGCAAGGGTGTATTGCCATATAAAATATAAAACATATACTTACTTGGACTGGGGGAAACCAGAGACTGATTTTCAGATTTTGTTCTGGGGTGGTGCCAAAAATGGATACTACAATCCAATGTATTTAAATTTCAGAGGGGTACAAAAAAATTGTGTGGGGGGAGGGATGCCAAACATCTCTGTGGGGGAGGGATTTTTTGGGTGGTGGTGCATGTACTGATTTTCTGAAGCACTAGTAAATATATGTGATTTGTGTGTACAAAATGTTTACTGTCAAGCAAAATGAAATAAAATAATAAATTGATTGAAGGATGCTGTAAGGCATCATTTTAATGTAAATTTGTAAAACAGACACAAATACATAATATGTATAGATAATATTTATATACTGTACAACAGTTTAACATTTTTCTTAAGTCACTGACAACTTCTTGGTTAACAGCACTCTGACGGATTAGCTGCATAATTGTGCTGTTGCAGATATACCATTTACTCTGTTCTCTCGATTTCTTGTTTCCGCAATTGTAATAATCCTCTGTTGCACATGAAACCCTCCTTGCCACATGTTTTGTTAAGGTTGGTTTGACATTGCATGTATTGTGGATATATCTTGCCAATTTAATGTGCTTGGCCTCACACCGTTGCATCATGTTCAGTCCTAAACCAAACCATGTGCTTTTAAACAGTTATATTGAAATACTGTTGGCATTTAACATCTAATGGTTTCAATTAAATCTGTATCAATGGATACTCTGCTGTAAATTGCTGTAGAATCTCGCAGTTGAAGTGCAACAAATGCTAAAGCATAAATTTTAACTTGAATTTGTTCAGAAATTCCATCAATACTTAGCGATTCTTGGATAAGGAAACTAAAATTCTATGCAAATTTCTTTGATTCTAATCCAGTGAATCTGAAACAATAGTTAAACACCACTCTTTCTCTTCTCACAAACCATCTAGAGAAATTCTTGAATAGTTGTCCACATTTCACAGTTTTCACACATGCCATGAATTTAGAAAGTGCAGATAAACTTGGCAAATCTGACAGTGACTTTGCAGATTTGAGCAAGCTTTCACTGCTAAACTACATCGCTATTGCCAAAGCAATTGTGAACCAATGCTGCTGCCTGCCATGCATTGTTTGTACAGTGTAGGGGTTCAGCTTTAGTATTCAGGTTTGACAGAAAACACAAACTTTGACATTAAACATTTTGCACAATCAATATGCTCAACCTCATAATTTTAACCATAACAGATTCACATATAGTTTTCATATTTTTCTTGTTTCAATCTTTCCTGCAAACTTTGCTGTTAACATTTTGTCAAGGAAAGGGGGAAAAATTGACCTTCTTGTGTACAACCAAAATTGTTTTTAACAAGTTACCAGATATCTTTCCCCACGCCTGTGTTCCTTTGTCCTGTGGTCAGAACGATAGGCTCTCAGATAATCCATCAACCGGAAACAGAAAAACCTGGTGCGGTCATAACTGCACATGTGTTGCAGATGTAATTACATTTGGATGAATCACCAATGGCACTAAGAATTTCTATTAGGTCTCGTTTCTCACAGTTACCGTTTTCTCGTTCAGTGTGGCATCACAGCAACAAGCGCTTGTAAGCTGTGGTAAACTGTTGTGTGGTGGGATTGTTGTCGAACCCACCACAAGCACGAATTGCACCGAAAAACAACTCTAAATGATCTTGACTCATTTTGTAAGTAAGTATATACTTCAGTGGGGCATGTTCCGATTCGACCAAGTCATGAAACATCTGCTTCATGCTCTTGATGCCGGCTAGAAATCCCACAAATCCAGTCTTCTGCTTTGTCTTGCACATTAGTTGACCAGAAGTGTTTTTCAATCCGAGTATGTATTCATACACATCAGTAAGGAATGGATCCCATGTGGTCTTGTTGGTTAAACTCATTGGGGCTTTATAGCCTTTGGCAAGTGGGTTTCTTGAGTTAAGAATGTCAAACAGTTGATTGAAATTTCGGATAAATGTAACTGTTGCTTCAGATCCCTGAAATTCTGGTATCTTTAATGTATTGGCACAAAATTCTATGGCATCTGCCACACTTGCACTAAGAGACTGTGCAGCCAAATGCACTTTCATCTTTTGTTGTTTCCAATTAATATGTGCTTTCTTCAGTTTATTTCCAAGCCTGAGGCCTTCATCTTGCAACTTTTGTAATTGTATCACATATTCCCATTCAATCTTTCCACCATATTTGTCAATGAATATCCCCCACTCTACACTTGAGGGCATTTCTGACAAGCTTCAGCATATGACAGATGTCCAGCAAGACATAGATTCGCTGATTTCGATCTTGTGGGTGAATGAAGTATGTCGCCATCTTTAAAGGATTTAAACAAGCTCCAAGAGCAGATAACATACTAAAATGGCATGATGGCCCATCACATGTGAGAGAGATGACTTTGAGTCCTGCATCATGAAGATGCTGGATACAAACTTTAACAAGGTTTGCCCGCACCTTTCCACTTAGTCCGTCAACTAAAAAGTACCCACATGGCTACTTTCCACGAGTTCTCTAAGCTGACAACCATAAAAACAAGTGCATCCTTTGCAATGGGTAGGGTGTCATCATCTGTGCCACTGTCAAGGTCTACATAGCCTTGATACCTTTTTCCATCCCATGCAACTTGCTTTTTCATCTCACATTAGGGAGCACATTAATTCTTTTCCATGTTTCTTTGCTTCTTCTGACTTCAGCTTTAAAGCATTAAATGCTGGCTCGGTGAATCCAGGATCAGCTGGAATTTTACTGTACCATCTTCGAATTTGTGATTGACTGGGCAAGGTAAGGTTAAATGTTTTCCAAACGAATTAATATGCCTTTGCTGAATAGAATAGTGTTAATGCAAATTATTTCAATTCAGGAGAGTATGCGCATCCTTTCTTTGATTTTTTTACACCATTCTTTTTGTTATGGCTAGTGGCAGTCCTGTGAATGTCTGGTTAAGCATGTGCTCACAGTCTGTTGAGATAAGATCTTTTTTCCAGAGTTCATGCACAACTTCTTTAAGGAAAATACCTTTTTCTTCAAGCGCTGTGACCATTGTTGTGATGTTTTCAGTTTCCTCTTCAGGGTTTCAATCTTCTTATTTGATTTTCTTAGTTTCTCTTGCATTTTTGTGATGTTTGCAGTAATAGGGTTGTCATTGCTATCCTGAAGAATGAATGCTGGATTATCTTGAGAAAGCTTTTCTGCTGATGAGCTCTGGTTATCATCACCAATCCAGGGTCATATCTTGACAACATGGTTGTTTTTCTGAGGGGCTTTCTTCAGCTTTATCAGGGAAAGAATCCTCTTGCATATGTTGAATTTCCTGGTCTTTATCTTCGTTTTGGCCTAATACAGTTTCCAAGACCGTTTGAGTCTCTTCCATTTCTGCTCTGTAATCAATTAGTCTTGAAGGTAACTTGCGATCTTTGGTAACCTGAATAGCAATTTTTGTTTCCATTTAAAACAACTGACTTATAGTATTTACAATGATACTAAAATGACAATTCAATCAATAAAACCTATTCAAACACGATCAAGTTAGTGTGAAAGATTGTTTTCAATAGGCATACAATATTATATAGGTATTACATAAGCATTAAGTATTTTAAGTTTGAAACTACCCTAGCAACTTAGGTCATTAACTGGCTGAACATGAGAAGGTCATTATATGCATACAATAGACCTTCTGCATAATGAAGTCACAAGGCTTGATGCCCACAAGAAATGTTGGTCTTATTAGTCATCGCCAGGGAAAATCTTGATGGTGGCCATTTTGAATTGTTTCATTTTCCCGGGTGATAACTATTAAGACCAGCATTCCTTGCAGGCATCAAGCCTTGTGACATCATAATGCATATATACAGGTTGTTTTTAACAGTATCCTTATTTACACCGGTCCTACCCGTACTCCTTTGAGTTATGGAGTCTGGCAGCCACTTGTTTGGTGATGCATATAAGAAATGTCCCGAGGTGGGAAGGGTGGGAAACAAGAAGTGGCCGAAGGATGCGGAGTACAGGTAATGCCGAGAACATACAAAGCAAGGTATATTATTTAAGTATGTTCTGAGACCGGTTGTTCTACAAAGCCTGCTTCAGCAAACTGACACTTGACCTAAAGTGGGTGTGACTCATATATCTGGGTGTGACTCATATATATATCCTATTTACACCGGTCCTACCCGTACTCCTTTGAGTTATGGAGTCTGGCGGCCACATCGGGATGCATGCCTCAAGACTCATGGATAACCCAACTCACAGAAAATCTCCAAAACTCAAAGAAAACCCAACACTCAAACGCAAGGAAACCCAAAACACCAAAACTCAAACACCTAATAATCGGGTGATTTCCCTTCAAAAGTTCTGTATAAGGAAATGCCAGGATAAAATTCTTAAAGAGTAACATCAGCAAGTTGTTCGCCACGAAGAACATGTTGAAGAAACTGCTTGGGTATATGGGCCTTATTCTCTGTCATCCCAGTGGATTTATCGGGGTCCGATCCGTCAAAACAAACCCAACGTGGAGGTGGAGGCTTTATATCATGTAGAGAAAATCAGGTTCCCACAAGGGAAATACAGATTCGAGACGTACGTTTTTGGCGGAAGGTTAGAAGAAAGAACAAAGATGAACGTAAGAGAGAGAATATGAATGCAGAACCCAGGGGATGACAGTTTTGAGTCCCGGTAATCCGAGCAGGAATTGGATTCCTGTTCCAAACAGTCAAAAAGAAAAGGCACCCAAGTAAAGGCAAGACAACCTTTCAGAAGAGAGGGGGGGGGGGAGAAAAAGAAACAAACAAAAACAAAAATGCAGAGAACAAATTTTATTAACGAGTTATGCAAATGTATAACAATGTAAGAATGTGCACAACAACGTGATCAAACGTTTGTCATAGAAACATGCTAACCCCGTGGCGAATTGTTTGATGATTGGTCCTGTTGGGATTGTCCTAACAATCTCGGATATGGTGCAAAGTACAGACCGAAGGGAGCATTGCTCTGCCAACCAGACTCACTGCGACGTCTGAAGCAGTTTGGGGCTATATGGCCAGGAATGCCACAATGGAAACACACGACACGACCACGGCAGGCAGGACGAGGGGAATATGACCTTTCAACAGGGGAACGAGAAGCCGGTGCCTTTGTCTGGAACACTTTTATCAACACGAGCAATACACTCAAGAATCTTGGTATAATCTTTGTTAGAAAATAAAGCAGTGAAATAGGCTTGAAACTTGTCAAGGGAGATGGAAACATGAGACCGCAATGTCTGAATGGATGCATCCAAAAACGATGCCTTCGAGTCATGAACGCGGTGAGCTTCTCTTGCTGCTTGCTTTGGCTAAATTGAGGGTGTGGTATTTGTCAAAATCAGATGCACTACTTAAACCATATTGAGACAAGCGTAATAAATGACTGATGGGACATCTGGCTGAAACTCTCTAAAGTTTTTATCCGTTCAAGCAATGCAGCAATGTCATTCTAAGAAATAAAGGAAAAGGTGCATAATAGATAGGTACCTTAGACAAACTCAACGCCATGGCAGTTAAACTACGGCGTAAGGGGAAGCAAAACAAATTAGCGAAATATAAAATTACGTAGCGTTTTTTTTTAGACACCCTTTATAGGGATGAGTGTTACTGTTACAGGTAAACTATGTGAAGCATTCCTCTTTTGTGTTCCTAACTCATTTGGAACTTTCAAAATTAGATTTGCAAATTTGAAAAATCTTCGCAAATCCCTCAAGGGAATTTGCAATTTTCCTGTCGGCCGTTGCAATATTCCAACGCAAATAAAGTTCCTTTCAAAATTCCTGTTCTGTTCTGAGCGTTATCACTGGTGGATTATTTTTGTTCGCCAATTGCAACTTGTAACAGGAAGTTAAGAGCTTCTATCAGGAACTAAGGAAAATTTCCAGGGATTTGCAAGTGAGTTTTTCAAATTCGCTAAATAATACGAAAATTGCAATCAACTTAGGAACTCAGAAGAGGAACGCTTCACATAGTTTACCTGTAAAAAGTGTGTGGTGTGCGTAGTTCTTTGGATGCTACAGTTTTAAATCTCTAAGTGATTGCATAATTCTTAACCCACTAGTTCTTTTATGCTGGGTTTCGCTGTATTCAGTACACTTTTGTAAGACAAAATGCAATATATTTTCTTGGAGAAAAACTTCACCTTGATGTCCCTTTTGGCTGCATGTTAAGGTCAGAACGCGATTTGACAACGCAATGCGATTTTTTAGTTTTTGAAAGTTAATAAAACAGCCAATGAGAGCAAATTTTAAAAGATTTGTAGACCAAATAACTCAAAATGTTATAACGCTTCTAAACATTTGGAAAATTTAAACTAGGATGAAAGTTATCGGTCAGTGAAAATCGAAAAATCACATGGTTGAATCGCGTCCGGTGTGTCTGGACCTTTAATAAATTAAACAAAAGTGATATTGAGTAAGGCAATGCTAATCAGTTTATTGCGACAAAAATGCTATATTTGAAGTTACTTCCAGTAAATTTAACAGGTAAAAACACCATGCAGATTAAGTTTATCTCCAAGAAAATATAGTGCATAGGGTATAATATATACCTGAGTGCCTGGATTCAGGGTTCTTGCATGTAAAACTGGGGAACGCCTTCATTTTTTAAATACTTTGTTTAACAGGAAAATAGAATGTCAACTCAACTACCAAACTGTTAACATGCAAATGCTAATTCACTGATCTATTAGACGGACGTCATTACTCTCTAAATCTTCTATCCAGTCCAACCACCCTTCAGCAACATTTCCATTACTGTCTATTATATCTGCAAATTTAACAAGTTAATGCTGTATGTACAAAGGCCAACAGAATGCTGGGATTCATAAGAAGGACTTCAACCAACATTCGCGTTCCACGTATAAGAACAGCACTGTATAAAACATTAGTTCGAAGTCACTTCGTGTATAGCTCACAAGTCTGGTCACCACAATCTGTAGCATGTATCCTTGATCTCGAGAAAGTACAACAGCATCCAACAAGGTTTATATTATCCTTATTGTTTCAGTCTGAAACCAATTATAAAGATCGGCTGCTATTAACAGGCTTACTGCCTTTGTGCTACTGGCATGAGTACCACGTAGAGTATATTTCTTCAAAGCTCTGAAGTCAAATGATCCAAACATTGTTGTGAAGTCTAGTGGTCGTGTCACAAGACACAATTCAACTAAAAGTATTTGAACTAACATTCCTGGAGTAAACACTTTAACTTTTCAAAATAGCTATTTTAATAGAGCTCCTAGAACATATAATTGCTTGCCATCTTATATCCGTAACGCTGACATCACAATTGGCCAATTCAAATCATACTTGTTGTAATATTATCACGAAATGACTGAACTTATATACGACATTAATGTACCACAATCGTTTAAAACTGTCCGTGTTAAATGTCACTTGTGTCGTCCTTTGTCGAGCCTTGTAGATAAAATGTGTTGTAATTGAAGTAAATGTTTAGTTTAAGGGACCCTGTGAATGGGGCAATAAGCCCTGTAGGGATCACCAGTCATTTATGACAAAGCTAGTAAATAAATAAATAAATAAAACCAAGTACCCTGCATTCTTTCGATACGCCATTATCTGTCCCTTACACCAACCCCAATACTTTGTTACCTTTCCTGATTTGTCCTTTTCGTCATATTCCACCTCAATGAGATGATTGATCAAAGTTCGTCCACTCGGCATCCTTTTATTGGAAAGCAGATGTCTGCGTTTATCTGGTGGACCTTCATCTTTTGAATTACCAACACTTGTGCGCTTTCGTTTGTTTTTCGGTTTAATAGGTGATGCTTTGTATGATGTTGTTACGTTATCTTTGCAAGCTGCTGTTTTTACAGCATGTAGGCGATCTTCGAGGTAAATGTTTTCCATCAAAGCTTGAATAATAGTACAATCTTCCTGTAAAGATTGTCTGTTCAAAGACTCGACTGGATTTGTGGAACATGGCCCTTGTTCCCAATCTTTCTCTTTCATTTCCATAAACGCCCTTGTAAACATTGTAAGATGATTCACCTGACACCACCATTTACTCCAGTGCTTAAGTCTTGTCCAATTATGGTTGTCAATTTTGTTAAGTTCTGATAGTAGGTCTTCTTTGACAAACTGCCTTGCATCTTGTAATGTTCTAGATCCTGAAAGCACGTCGAAAATGAGCAAAACGTTATCTTTGTTTTGCTCTTCTTCAATTTTCTTAGCTAAAGCTTTGAACACACAAATTTCATCTTCACTCTGGTAAGCCAGTTTACATACTCGGTTAACTGACCGTTGCCAGTGGACACTGCATCCCTGGATTACTTTTTTTGCTAGCTCTCCGCCCAAGCATTGTTGCAATCCCTTATATTGAGCATCATCGAAATCCACAAGAATAGACCTTAAATTATGGCCATTCGAAAAATGAGCGTGATCTTTTGTAACCTTTTCAAAAATTTTTGTTATTGAATTTGCATAACTTTTGCTGTCATGTCTGCTGCATAGCACTCGTGATACCGCGTTATACACACACGTTTGTTCATTTAAAGTTACAACGTTCAAAAGGTATGGAAAAGACTTGTTTCCCGTGTCAGTCACATCCATGAGCAAGTCCTCCACTGTACTCAAAAGAGCTGACTGAAATGGAGCCATAGAGAAAAGCGTACTTCCTACTGGGTGAGAAAATGTATTTGCATCCTTCCATTTGGTATTGTCCCATCATTCGGTTCACTTGTTTGCTGATATTTGTGCTGTCATCGTACAACTGTTTGCTTTCCACTTTCTTTCGAATTTTGTCAAAACAAAGAACCTCATCTAGTGGGCATAGTTCTTTATGAACAGACATCAACTTGCCAAGTGCCATTTTCCTTTCCTTCCTGACACGATCAGCTGCAGGTGCACTAGCTTCGGCGGGAACATAACCAATTCCAAGTCCTTTCATAATATCCTTAGTAGTTTTACTACTATCGTTAGATACAACCCTTTGAATGTCCTCTTTGACTTTGCTTGACATGACATGCGGAGCTGGTTTATCGTGATTATGTTGAGTGCCTGGTACAATACCAACCCATCACCTTCCATCGTCGCTACACAGCCATATGTAAACCATGTGCTCAGGACATGGTCTAGTTGAAACTAGAGAAAAGTTACCTTTGTGCTGTATGCATCGATTAAGTTTTTGTCTGTTTGACACAGCGTAGGCACTGTCAGGACCAGTGCACTTTTTAACACCTTCACAAGGTCCTCGTCTCACATTCAGTAAGGTATCCACACCGTCTGTATTTATGCTGTGCTTCGTTGTTTGCGTTCCTCGTTTCGACAACTGATTATCCTCCCAAATAAAATGGGGCAGAGTATTTGCTGCAAAAGTCAGCTTTCTACAATCATCCACGGAATGAAAAGCTTGTTTGCAAATTCTGTGTGCCTGACTCGAATCCTGGGAATTCATATTGGTCCATACTTGTTAATTTGACCCAATTCTCCGATTTATTGAGGCATTATTCCTTTATTTTTGGATGATGATGCCCTCTTCCGCTTCTTTTTCGGGTTGCATTCTCCTTTCGCTTTATTTTGTCACTTAGTGGATTTTTTGCTGGATTCAGAATGAAGACATTGTGTGGAGCATCTAAAAACTGCTTTCCTTTCTCGGTAACTCTGTACTGCCTCCATACTCTGGTAAATGATTTGCATCTCGTAATGTTAAATTTAATGTCTACATACTCCAAATTAATTGCTTGTCGTAGCAGTATTGACCACCAACCCTGAGACCCTTTATCTTCAATTTGCTTAGAACCAGCAGAATATGTTCGTGTATTTTCCATGAGCTTCTGAAGTTCAGGTAGTGAGAATGCATCTCATTTGCTACCTTGTAACCATCCAATTACAACATCTTCTTTTATCCCTTCCTTATAAGTTTGCAGTTGCCCAAGGTCCAAAATAGCTTGCATAAAAAGGCTGATTGCTTGTGTAGCGTTGAGGTCTCTTTTATCTTTAACTCATTCCCATCCGGTCGAAAAGTAGCAATTTCGAGTGGTGTTGTTTCAAACGCTTATATCACTCAAACTATACATCGCACAGAAACAGAAATTGCATCGTTCGAAAGAGGAGGACTTCTGCTTTCCAACGATTTCATCCGGAGCTTGGTTAACGATTTACTTGCATAAATTTGCATAATTTGCAAATGTATTAGCGGTTCAAATTTCAAATATGTCAAAAAAAATTATGAATATGACTGAAAGACACGGTTATGATCTACAAGTACCCGAAGTTTCATCCATGTAGCGTAAATAGAAATATTTTTATTGAAATATTCCAATATTTCTTACTCTCCAAAGATAGTATACCACCAAAATAAGTCTGTGATACCCACAAAAGAACACTCAAATCATGATTAGCAAAATGCCTTTATTTCTACAATTACTACATACATTCTTAGATAATCATTAAACCATTGACTTTAGTTATTAGTGGCATAACCAGCCTCAAAATTTGGTCATGCTATTCAAATTTGAAATAATCACTACTCATTTGTTTAGAAATTGATTGTTTTCACAATCTAGAACATGAAAATATTTGCAACTAGCATGACCAAGTGTTGTTGGGCTGGCATCATCATAATTAGTAGTTATAAAAAAGTAATGTTTTCCAAGGCAGTAATGTTTGCCAAAGCACATAATTGGATTATGTGGTGAAAATATTTCCTTTATAGTGTACTACAAAAGACCTAAGACTGTAACCAAACTGATATCAGATCACCACATCATACCCAAATCTGTTGGGATGAATATCTGGACTTCTTCCTGTATAAATTTCAAAGTCGCAATATAACCATTAGATTGTCTGCAGCAACCCACAGATTTATTCCCCACATAGTAGGTCATCTAGCTTTCATGAACTGCCTAACCCCCAACCTATTTCTTGATTTGACAGTGTGTTTGTCTGCAACAACAATATTCTGTGACGGCTGGTACAGTTGTTGATGCAGTTTATTGCTGTAGTCTTAGTACAGGATCTACCATATTCACAAACGCCATAAGCGCTTTTGTACCTAACCCGAGAAATTATTTCTATTGCCCACAGACCATGATATAAGGTTTTTACACTCCAATAATTTTCAATCTCACTGTCAACCTTTAGCAAACCTGCATATACTAAAAGGCAATCAAACTCTCAAGGTTGGTGGACTGCAAGACCCTTCTTTATTAGTATATGGGGATAACTTTTGAGTTATTTGAATGTGGGCATATGTATTGGTATGGCCAGGAAACTAGAAGAAACAAATGAAATTATTCAAGCGAAAGATTACGGTGAAATGGAAGCTATAAACAATCGTGCTGGGAAAATAATCGTCAAAATATCGGAGCTAATTTCACAAACAGAAGAGTTGAAAAAACCAGTTAGACAGTGGAAAAAGGAAACAAGAGCTAAATATTCAGCGCTGATCGAAGACAAAGAGAAAATATCACAACACCTAAAGGAAAAACAAGAAAAAGCTTATGACGAAGCTGAATTACGACGGCTAGAATTGAAAGATAAACAATTTCAACAAGAAGAACAACGACGAGCTGAAATTCGCAAAGCACAAGAGGAACGCGAACGACAATTATGGCAAGAAAGGCACGAAGCTGAATTACGCATGACTCAGAGAAAGATAGAAATAGAAAAGACCGCTCGTTCATCTGCAGCGAAATTACCAAAGTTAAAAATAACACCGTTTAATGGGACCCCCACAGATTGGGTGCGATTTGAGAACATGTTTTTGACACTTGTTCACGAAAAAGCGAGTACAGCCGAAGAAAAATACGGGTTTTTATTGGAAATGGTGAGTCCAAAGGTGAGGGAAAAGATTGCTAATTTGAAACCAGGTGAAGTCGGTTACAAGATTGCATGGGAGAGATTAAAAAGCGAGTATCGTCACCCCAAACATGTTATCAATGCCCATATGGATGCCATAATTAACTTAACTCCAGTAAGAGGACATAATTATGAAAAAGTTCAAGATTTCTATGAGAAATTAAGCAAGAATTTCGATGCACTTCAAACTCTGGGAGAAAGTGAAAAACTTTCTGGATTTGTTATGACTACAATCAACAAGTTGCCCCACATAAAACCCGACTTGGTTCGAGCGGACGATGACTGGGAAGAATGGTCCATGGAAGTACTAATAAAGAATTTGCAAAAGTGGCTTCGACGGAATAAAGTGGATGATGCGAGCAATCAGAAAGAAACCAGATACAAGAAACCAGAAGGACACTGGTATCAAAAGACATCAGGACCCCCAAAACCTCACTGTGTTTTTTGCGCGAACAATGAACACTGGAGTGATCAATGCAAAACAGTGAAACGATTGGCCGACCGAAAGAAATTCTTCGCTGAGAAGAATCTGTGTTTTAACTGTGGTCGCACAGGGCACAGGGGAAATCAATGCCGAAGTCGTGGTTGCCTGAAGTGTAATGCCAAACATCACACAAGCCTGTGTGATAAGAATGAAGACAACCAAGAGAACAAGACATCATTAACTGGATTTACCACATTAACCGAGGAGAAATCGCTTCCAGCCATTATACCTGTCAATATAAAAGGACAGACCCTGTGGGCATACCTCGACACTGGCTCGAGTCGAAACTTCATTTCACGCGAGGCTGTGAAGAAACTCAATTTGAATCCAACACATCATCCCGCGAGATGATAACCGTGAATGGTACCTCTACTCAATCCATGCCTATTTTCCAAACAACCATAACTTCTCTTGATGGGAAAGTACAGGAAGAAATCGAACTGACTGGTTCCAGACGTCAAGATTTTACCACAGTTAAGAGACCAGATATGAATGAACTCAAGATGAAGTACACCCATACTCAAGACAAAAGATTTTATATGACCGCCAAAGGGGAACATCCTATTCATCTCATACTCGGTGATGGCACATACAGCAGGATCCGAACTGAGAAAGTTTACAAAGGAAATCCCGGAGATCCCCTTGTGGAGGAGACAACATTCAGATGGGTCATACATGGTGGTGAGGATTATTCGAGCGATGCCTGTATGTTCACTAGAGAAATTTACGATTACGAACAGTTATATAGTCTTGATGTTCTTGGAGTTGAAGACCGTGGTGAAAATGATCAAATGCAAGTGCTTGCTGAGTTTCGAGAGAACATAACCAGACAAGAAGATGGCAGATACCAAGTTAGCATACCATGGATTCCAGGGAGTAAGTTGACAACTACAAACGAACAGCCAAGCAGAAGACGACTGTTCAACGTGAACAAAAAAGTTAGTGAAAGACGAAAACCTGAAGCAAGAATATGAGAAGATTATCGATGATCAACTAGCAAGCGGTGTGATTGAGAAAGCCCCAGACGAGCCGTCAGGAGAGCGAGTGTACTACATGCCACATAAGCCAGTCGTAAGGCAAGATGCAGCGACAACGAAAGTGAGAATGGTCTTTGATGCGAGCTCCAAACCCCATCCACTAGCATCCAGTATTAACAATTGTATGTTTACTGGGCCTCCCCTCCAACCGTTATTGTGGGATATTATGGTGAGAGCAAGAATGTCGTCAAATCTGCTTCTTGCAGACATTCAAAAAGGCTTTTTACAGATAGCAATCAAAGAAGAAGACAGAGATGCCTTCAGATTTCTCTTCGAGCGTGACGAAAAAGAGGAACATTTTCGGTTCGCCAGAGTTCCATTCGGGGTTGAAGCCAGCCCATTCTTACTCGGTGCTACATTAGAATACCACTACGACCAGCAATCACCAGAATTAGAGGAAACAGTGACTGCCCTTAGAGAAAATACGTATGTGGACAATATCATGCAAACGGGAAATAACATTGATAAGTTGGAGAAGTTTATGAAGGAAAGTGAAGTTATTCTTGAGAGTGCAAAATTACC